CAAAGCTAAGATTTTGAAAAAAAGGAAATGAGTGATGCCTACTGTCAGTTGCTTAAACAAGGGCCAAAAATCCTTAAAATAAGACAAGCTGATCATCTCCAGAGTACTTCTCAGTCATGTCCTTTAAATCTTCATGGAACACTAATCTAGGAATTACTTTTGTCTGCAGATGGCAAAGGAGGCCAAGAGAGTAAAATTAACTCAGCGGTTGGCAAAAATAATCCTTAATAAGAATTTCTGCCATTATTCTGCCTTGGCCCTGCTTAACATGAGCCTCAGTTGCTTCATCTGTAAAGTGGGGAGACCCAGGGACAAATCACAGAATAGTACTCAAATCAGGCTACTTTTTTTTTTTCGGTACCTGGGATCGAACTCAGGACCTTGCGCTTGCGAGGCAGGTGGTGGAACCACTGAGCTAAATCCCCGGCCCAGGATCATTCATTCTGGAAAGAAAAATTAATAAGGTCTTCCAGTGGAAAAAGGGAAAGGAGTTAGGTTAGCATTGACTGAGGACGCAATGTAGGCCCAGTATCATTCTAGGAATTGGCCTTTATAATTTCATTTAGTCCCCCATAGAGGATTAACTGAAGGTAGGCACCATTCACATGAAGTTTCCCTGGTGCTGGGAGCTGAGATGGGCCCTATGAGCTCACACGATGAAGGCTTAGCCCCTAACACAGCAATGTTAAGAGGTGGGGCTTTGGGGGAGTGATTGTATCATAAAAGCTTTGACATCATCAATGGATTAATCTACGGATGATTTCATAGCTCTTGGTATTATTGGGGGGTTGGGGAAACTTTAGGGTGTGGACCTAGCTGGAGGAAGTGGGCCATAGAGGGTGTGCCTGGAAGAATGTACCTTGTGTCCAGCTCTTTCTTCATTCTCCCTGCTTCCCATGTGTCATGAGATAAGCAACTCTACCCCAAACAAGCTCCTACCGTGATGTTTCTGCCTCACCACAGGCCCAAAACCAACAGAGCCAAGAATCAATGGACTGACACCTCTGAAACCATGAGATAAAGTAAACTTTTCCTCTATTGAGATTATTATTTCAAGTATTTTTATCACAGCTACAAAAACACTACTAACACAATCTGAGATTGGATTAGGAAGTTGCAAGTGTTTTGATAAGAACTAGAAGACTCCAAGACCTGACTTAACAAAAATAAACACTACTGTTGGACTTCGTACACCCAAACCACAGAACCTCTGTTCACCAGCTGTACGACCACAATTATGCTTTGTGTGTCTTGGTTTTCCACCTATGAACTGGGGATAATACTTTCCATAAGGTTCTTGTGAATATCATGAACCAAAATATGTAAAGGCCAGGGTTGTAGCTCAGTGGTGCTGCGCCTGCCTGGCAAGTGCAAGGTCCTGAGTTCAATCCCCAGTACCGGAAAAGAAAAATGTAGCAAAATAAGTAAAGTGTGGAGGAAAAAGGCTGGCAGCCACCGGCAGAGTTTAATAATAGCTAAAATAGTTTTAGCTGTTACTGTAACCCGCGTGTTATTAAGCACACAGAAAACACCGAATGGGCATTTGCTATTATTATCATCATTAGTTCAATTAAGACCCAGTTAGACCTTAATTTGGAAATCTTTCTCTGCTTTTTGTACAGTCAGGATCTTTTTTCTGCTCGAATTATAGAGGCCTCCTCAGTAGACAGAAATTGGATTAAAATAAAAGCTCTCAGAATGTAAGCCAAAGATTGATCGAAAATACAAGGCATTAAAGTAATGGCAGGAGAAGGTGGAATCCTTTTAACGTATATTTAATAGAGAAGTAAGTCAATTTCAAAATTACAAAATAAATCAATTCAAAGATATTCATAACGCTTGAGATGTCTCCAATGGGCAAAAGCCACTGGTCATTAGCTAGGTAGAAAAAGAGGAGGTAAGGAGAATGGGAGAATGATTTTCCTAAAATAAAATCATGAAGAAAAAAAAAGTAGAAAAATACTACTGCCAAGAACTCACTAAGAGCTTTAGTTAGACAATAATAAACTGTGATCAGAAAGTTTCAAATCAGGCTTGGTATGATGGAATGTGTCTGTCACCACATTTAGGAGACTGAGGCAGGAGGATCCCTGCGAGTTCGAGGCCAACCTAGGCTACATAGTGAGTTCAAGGCCGGCCTGAACTTCATAAAGTAAGGCCTTATCTCAAGCCCAAAAAGTTCAAATTGTTTTGTTGCTTTGTAGTTCATTCTTTTATTTTCTTAACATTTACTGAACATCTACTAGGTAGTTGCCAGTCACCAGGTTTTGTCATATCCTAGAGTTGCATACGAACAACTACGCACAGATAAAAAGAACTGAGCGACACAGAGGAGCCACAAAAGGGGAGAGACACTCACTGTGAGTTTCCAGGGTAAGCAGTAAATCAGCTGACAGCCCAAACGAGGTCAGACAAACCTCAGATTCTTATCAATCACATCCCACAGAGCCGGTGTCTGAGGCCTCTCTATGGTCTATTTCACTGGATCTTGGTGTCTTTTCTTGCTTTTATAAGCCAAATACATTTCACTCTTGCATTTTATTTTTTATTTCTCTCTCTCTCTACCAGAATATAAGCTTCATGCCTGCTTAGCTTGGCTGCATTCTAAAACTGTGTGCCTGGTTCATAGCAGATGTTCAGTTAACTCTTGCTGAAAAATACAGCACAGTACAGACCCTAGTCAGCTTGCTAAGATAGAATCCAGAGGCCTGCAGACACGTCCACTGACAGAGCACACTAGCTTAGTCCATTTGCCCTGTTTTAAAAAATACCCGGATGGGGGCTGCATTGGCGACCAAACTTCAGGTTAATGAATTTTGGAAAGAGCACGAACATTCATGCCAAAGCATGAGTGATAGCAACTGTCCCCACAGAGGATTAACATGCACCTCGTCTCCCCATTTCTGGCAACAGTCACGCCGTCCTCCATCTAGACCTCCACCCCTCACAGCTATGCGAGCTTGGTATGATCCTGATTGGACCAGGAAACGGGTGTTTTCCAAGCTCAGCCAATCGAATTCTCTTCTCTGTGATTTACTGTTTGTCTTTATGAGAATAGAAGTTTGATAAACTGACTTAGTCTAAGACTTTGTCTTAGTCTGTCTTTCGTTAATAGAAGGAAATACCCGAGGCTGAGTACTTTATAAAGAGAAGTTTATTCTTGCGCACAATTCTGGAGATTTCAGGCTAAGAAGCTGTGATGGCGGAGTTCCTGAGACCGTGCAGGGATCGCACGGCAAGAGACAGGAAAAGGACGCGCGTGTGCAAATCTTACAATCATGACAGCTTCACCCCGTGACCTTCTGTAATCCTAGTCACCTGCCAAAGACTCCCCTTCTACACCCCTACAGATTAGGTTCCCATCCTCTTCACACCTCAAAATGGTGATCAAGTTTCAGCACATTTCAACATTTCAGTGTTTTCTCAAACTATATCCAATCCATAGCAACTCTGAGCTCATTCACACATCCAGTGGCAAGGAGAAACATCGCAAAATTGCAAAACCCAAAATTACAAAAAGGCTGAACGATGCACAAAAGCACAAGGAAGGAAATAAAATTCACCAGTTTGTGAGAGTTTGTAATAATGAAAAATACGAAACGACTTTCAGGTCCCAAAGGAAATGGACAAACTAGGCTTACATCAGTACAAGGCAGTATTGTCACAGAAAGATCTACAAAATGTACTGTTGAGTAACAAAAGCAAGGCACGGAACTATGTGAAAGTCTATAAGAATATAAACCACACGTGGTCATAGTGACCTCTGGAGAAGGGAGATATGAAGAGAAATTGTGCCTTTTTACACAAAATATTTTGTAGTATTTAAATGTACAATATTTTGATGATATTGGATTCTTATAGTAGCTTATTTAACTAAAGAAAATATCTTAAAAACCATGAAAAGGTGTGACAGAAGTAGAACTACTTAGACAAGAGGAAAGGAATAAAGAGAAGAGAGGGGATGGCCCGTAGGGAGGGGAAATATGGAATGAGCATAATCAAAATATGTTATATGCACGGTCGAACTCGGGGGAGGGCAGAACAAGAAGATAATGGGGGGTAGAGGTGAAAATGATCAAAGTTTATGTTGTGCATTGTTATAGTTCATATCCAGATATCCCTCCCCACCCCAAGACTGGATTTCTGGTGTGACCCTGGATGATGAGTGTGGTACTGGGTTAGTCCATTGACTGGTTTAGCATAGTTCTGGGTGTGAGCTTTGGATTTACTACAGAGGAAAGACCACCCTGGTTGTGGGCGGCTCCAGCCAATAGGCTTATAGCCTGGATGGAAAGAAAAAGGGAAAGAAGGGTGGATTGCTGCTTCCCACCTGCCTTGCCATGAGCCTTTTCTCCTCTCCTGTGCCCTCTGCTGCGCTGCCCTGCATTGAAGCTGGATGCCTGTAGACTGAAACCTGTACAAATTGTAAATAAACCTTTCTTCCTTTAACTTGTGGGCATCAGGTATTTTGTCCCAGCAACTGTAACTAAGACAAGAAAGTACTAATCTTCCAAAATGAAACCGTATAAGCAATATGCACTAATAAAAAATGTGGGGCAAAAAAAAGTCAAAGTGGCTGAGGCCAAAGACAAGAAAATCCTTTAGGAGGATTGCCCAGACCCAAAGGGATTTGTCCTGACATAGGGCAGAAGGTACAGTGAGAAAGAAACTAACGAACGCATGATCAATTTTGGGTGTAGCACGGGGGCTTTTTCTGGTCGAACACAGTGGTGTGGGGCAAAGGTCTGACCGAGAGGCAATACCCTCTCTTAGTAAAAAGTGTGTGTGTTGGAATTCACCTGCCAGGACCCAAGCCCAATTTAGCCCAGTTTAGACTCTGTACACATCAGTTCACAAATTAGGCTCCCCTTGTCAAGCGGAGGTGACCATACTATTTCCAAGCTCACAGGAGGTTGGCAACTAATTTCCATAAAGGTACTGAGAACTTTGCTGTTGCTCCACACATTGGTAATTACTGCACAGACTCGTTTTACGTCTATCCTCCATGTCATCCTTGCTGTCATCGTTTTCATCATGAAGACAAGCCCTGGGCCATGTAGCTTAGGTGACCAGCTGGAAAGAGAGAAAAATATAAAATGATTTAAAGCAAGTGTCCAGGACTGATAGAACCGAAGATGGGAGTCACCTGACGGTGGAGCTTATTCAACAGGTTCTATCAGGAAGGGAAGAAAAGAGAGCAGAATGAAACTACCTGGCAACTTAGTCAAGTTGCAAGTGTGAAGAAGCTTGTATGAATTTTCAAACAGAGAAGCCCCAAGTGAGTCTTGTCTTTTCTAAAATTCATTTCAAAGATGAATCTGTGAAATCAGTATTCATGTAATACATTATACATTAGCACACTCATTGTAATGGACGAAAACATTAACCCACTGAGTGTGACGGCACACGCCTGCAATCCCAGCTATCCTGGAGGCTGAGGCAGGAAGATCATAAGTTTGAAACAAGCCTGAGAAACTTAGGAAGACCCTGTCTCACAATTTTTTTTTTAATTTTTGAAGGTTTGCGACATTGCTCAGTGCTCCCTAGGTTCACTCGCCAGCACCACCAAAAAAAAAGCTAAAACAAAGCTCCTCTGAACAAAAGCACAGCTTCATTTCCTGCCCCTTTATCCATTTCTCACCTTCTCCACACACGTGTATCCCTACATCCAGTGCCTAACTTGAGGGATGTGACCACCATACAGTCGTGTTCTTGTCATCCACCAACTCTTTACAGTTTATTCAAGTGATGCATTAGTCCATTCGGGCTGTACACAGATAACAGAATTTACTGTTATGAACAATGGAGATTATAAGTGACAGAACTGAAACGTTTACAGTTCTGGAAGGTTAGGAAATCCAGCATCAAAGCTCCACTGGATTTGGAGTCTGGTGAGGACTCAGCCTTCATGGATGGTGACTTCCTTGTATTCTCACAGCGTGAGGCCTGAAGGCTGCAACTCCTCAAATCCCTTTTCTCAGAGCACTTATTCCATCCATGAATGCAGAGTCCTCCAGAGCTAATCACCTCCCAAGGTCCTGCTTGAAACTATTTCCTTAGGGTTTGGTTTAAACAGACCAAGTTTGCAAGGACACATAAATTCACACCTGTGGCAGATAGGGTAGTCTCATTCAGCCCTAGAGGGAAATTCTAGCAGACGCGTGACTTCTCTGCTTCACAAAGACAGTTCCCAGTCCAACACGTGAACCCGCTCTTGATTTGCAATCAGATCTTGTCAGGAAGAGGCCGGCTTTCCGTCTTGGCCCTCTTGTCCTAATCCGCCATTCAAAGTGGTAAGCAGGTTCTTTGAGAAGGCAAAGTACAGGAGAAAGTAGAGGAGAGGAAAAATTAGAACAAGCAAAGTTCTGGAAATGTGCCGTATGTGTTAGTTATGTTTCTGTGATTGCTGAAACAAAATACCCAATACCCAAAGTTAGAAGGGAAGGGGTTTATATGGCTCACGGTTGGTAGAGGTTTCAGTTCCTAGTATGCTGTCTCCAAGACAGGAATGGCAAACACACTGCAGAGGAGAAACAACATGAGGCACAAGGTAGCAAAGGCAACAGGGAGACCTTGACAGCATCTTTCTATGCCTTGTATCTTTTTCAGAATACTTAGGGCAGGTAGCACTCACACCCTTAATCCTAGTGCCCTTGGGCCTAACCCCACCATGAGTTAATCACAGGATCCAGATTCAACTATCTCTGGAAAAGCGTGAGGCTTTTGGAGGACATCTAAACACCGTCCACAACACACAATACAGGCATTTGCTGGTCAGGCAGAAACCAGGTCTGCTATGTGCTGTATTCCGTGAGGCCTTCAGAGGCCATGCCCAGCTGTGGCCCCCCAAGAGCTATGTTAGACAACTTTCCACCGGTATAATCAACTTGTACAAAGAAAGGGTTTGTTTCAGCTCACAGCTGTAAAGGCTTCAGCCCCTGAGGAACTGACGTTGCTTTGGTCCTGTGGCAGCACAGCACGGCAGGAATGCATGGTAGAGAAACACTGTTCACCTCATGAACAGGAAGGAAAGGAAAGATAGGAAGTGCCTGGGACTCCACCATCCCCTTTGAGGGCATGACCCCCAAAGACCTAAACATCCCCCACTAGGCCTTACCTTGTAAGGGTTCCAACACCTCCCAAAACACCTCCCTGGGGACCAAGTCCCCAAAGCGCTTTAGAAGACTCTTCAGATCCAAACTACAGCAGAGTGCTAAGGTCCTGCTCCGGATCACCAGGCAGTTTGCACTACCACTGACTACAAGGGGGCTTTCTCATTTTCAGGTAGAAGCCTCCTGAGCAAGACTCAAAATGAACCCAGAATCTCTCTTTTATTGGCTCCATCCCCGGTACAAGTGAAGCATTCCAAACTTCCTCGCTCTGGCAAAATCTGGGAACATAGTAGATCCTTAAGGGGCCACCTGAACTCTGCACCACGGGTAACCACAGCTTTTCAGGCAGTGCCAGGCTCCAGTCCCTTGGGTCTCATAGCTATGGGACCAGATGTCAAGTCTTTTCAGAATGGTCCGGGTTTGTGGGGAGGAGGTGGCATTTGCTCCCACATACTGACCAGCACAGTATCTCTCTCTTTAAAAAAAAAAAAAAAAAATCTCCTGGGCCAGGAACTTCGCTCAGTGGTTCTTCTCACAAGTGCAAGTTACCAAGTTCGATCCCTAATACAAAAGCAACAACAACAAAAAACTCCTTACTAATTCTTTCTAGTCTATAGTCTAAGCCTTCTTACTATCCTTAATCTGGTGTTTTAAGACAGGGTCTCACTGTATAGTTGAGACTGACCTGGAACTCACTATGTAGCCCAGGCTGGTCTCAAACTCACAGTGATCCTCCTGCCTCAGCCTCCCGAGTGCTGGGATTACAGGCATGCACCACCACACTCAGCACTATCCTTAATCTGTATGAGAAGTACAAGAGCCAGAGAATTTTTTTTGTAACCACTGCCTATGTATATTCGTCCCAAGTGGGTTGGGCTTTGAAATTTGCCACCTATTATAGTCTGTGATGTTTGAATCTTAAAATCTAATTTTAATATCCTTTTACTCATACATGCAAAACTTGTTTGGTATGTTTTACTTTTACACAAATGTTCTCATAATTGTCTGCAACTTCTTCTTTTTCATTTTGTATCTGAGAACCTCTTATTAGTAAGTTTATGTGGTTTCCTTTATTTATCAGCGTCTTAGCTGCTAGACACCATCCATGGCCCCAATTCGTTACACTGGCAGCGAGCAGATAAGCAAACTCCTCCAGCAGGCTTAATTTGACAACAGATTTGTCTTGCTTGGGGGACACCAAGGCTTTTTTTTTTAATGGCTCGAATGCTTTTTGCTAATAAGAGATCCCATTGCCGCAGATTTATGTTAAATTCTTTGAGCAGATGAGGTTTGTGACTTCTCATACATTTCTCACTTCTAGCCTCTTGTTCTATTTCCTTATCAGATCATTCTTCTGGTCAATGTAAAATCTTTTAAGGGTAGAGAAGCAATTGTCTTTGCATCCCTCCCCCCGCCTCCCGCATCTTCCACAAAGAATTCCTAGCCAGGCTTTCAAAATCAGGGCCCGCCCATTTAATTTGTCCTCGCTGCACTTTTCACCTCCGAGCGTTAGAGGGCGACAAAACCGCAGGCGGCGCGCCGGCTTCCGATCGAGGCCGCTCCCGACGCGCACGCCCTTACGTAACGCCGGGGGCGGGTGATTTAATCCTGAGAATTTGAAGTCATTGAT